CCAGTACTAATTTACTAAAAGTCATTAAACTATGTGCCAACAATGGATGACTTTTTAAAATTCTCACCCAAGGACGTTTATTGATTTCAGACAGAGACAGAGAGGGAAGGGGAGGCAGAGAGAGAGAGAAAGAGAAACATTGATATGAGAGAGAAACATCAATTTGTTGCTTCCCATACACGTCCCAACCAAGAACTGAAGCCATAACCTAGGTATGTGCCCTGACTGGGAATCAAACCCATAACCATTTGGCATATGGGAGGATGCTCCAATCGACTGAGCCACCTGGCTAGGACTACCACGGATGACTTTGATCACCTAATCGCACTAGGCTTTAGAAGGTACATTTGAGGAAAAGCACTATCGTTACCATCATCACCTCCGTCACCAAGGAGGTGATGATGGTAATTAATTGTCTCTTATAATTGTGAATATATTACACATTTTCTAATTAAAGAACGTTATTTTTGTTCTATGCTACTTATTAAATATTTTCCCAGTTTTCATTGAAATTGAGAATAAACCTTGTGTAAATTTAAGGTATACAATGTAACAATTTGATATATGTATATACATTGGGAAATGATTACCACAATAAAGTTAGTAAATAAACCTATTACTTCACATAGTTATAGTTTTGGTGTGTATGTGAGTGGTCAGAACATTTAACATCTACTCTTAGCAAGTTTTTGGTACACAATACCGTGTTGTCAAGTACATTGACATGGTGTGCATTACATCCCAGAACTTACCCATCTTACAGATGAAAACTGGTACCTCTGACCACATTTACACCACCCCCACTCCCCACTCATTCATTAAATCTCGCCTGAGTAGGAAAGCACGAGGTTGTATTAGGGAATGAAAGGACACAGGAATCAGATTGAAAACTCCATCAGTACACATAATCTAATTTAAAAGGAACTCTTACAGTATTTTCCGTGAAGCAATCAGCCCATTTTATGTCCTACCTGGGGTGTCCAACCTGCAGCCTGCAGGCCTCACGCAGCCCAGAATGACTATGAATGTGGCCCAACACAAAATCATAGATTTCCTTAAAACATAATGGGATTGTTTTTTGTGATTATGTGTTACAATGTATTTCATGTGTGGCCCAAGACAACTCTTCTTCCAGTGTGGCCCAGAGATGCCAAAATACAGGACATCCCTGTAAACTCTATTTCAAAAACACTTCACCCTAATTTATGCATCTTTCAATTTAATTCTCTGATTATTTGGAGATTGATTTCAAATCAGTTTGAGTAACAACCCTTACTAAGTATAAAATTAGTGAGTTCTAAATTCTTAAGACTACAGATTCATTGACATTATCACTGAATTTATTTTTAAATAAAATATTGAAAATCCACCTACTATCTATTTCTACTTCTTGAAGCCTGGCACCTTTAACTGCACTTCATGACAAGTGGAGAAAGCATAAATTAAAACTGATGGAATTTTCTATTTTGGAATGTGCGACCATAATTCATTTTATTTAGAAAAGATCATATACCCATCATCAGTGTTTTCCTGCAATGTACAATGTAGGATCAGAATAATGCCGGAAATAAGTGGACAGATAAAATGATTTTGGGGTTGCAGTCACAATGCCTCAAGTGCTCACTTTATTCTCTCCCCTTCTGGAACTCTTCTCTCCTACTGTATACCAAACCAACAGATGCACTTGATAACCTCCTAAAATAATGTCACAGTATTCACTGAGCTTTTGCAGTGAGTCAAAATTAAAACTGGAGATCTAGACCAAGTAAATACTGTATATTTGGCAAAATCATTTGTGGTTGTGTTCTTCAACGAAGTTTCCAAGATAACCACCAGCTCTACTTGGCAACCCAAGGCTCCCACAGTTGAGGCTCCAATTGTAAAGTTGGCTTGTGAGATAGTTCACTGCTGCTGGCTTTGGTGCCATTACTACTCTTAAGAACTACTGTGCAATGGTGGAATAATAGTTGAGAAAAATGTTACTCTGGTGAACCAACCCTGTCCTCTGGTCCAGAGTTTTAACCTGTCCTCACAAGAGGAAATGATTATAGCACAACACTCAATAGGGTTGTTTATAAAACAAAGAAAACTGCCTCTAGTAATCTCAGATGCTAGGTAAGACTATTAAATTCTATCAGCAGCAACAATTGAACTTGGAGTAGAAGCAATTAGAGCATAAAAAAGCAGAACTAATATTTCTAAGTATTAGACATTCTAAAATGTCAAAATATCCATAGCTTTTGAAGATATTTTATTTCAAGGTAATTTCATAAGAACTCACAAGAGTTACTAATTTGGATTTGGGGCAGGAAGCAAAATAGAGTTGCTGCCTAGGTGTGTCTGTGGATGAATCATAAGAAGGGCTTTTTAATGAGGTCAGCAAGTAAGGAAACACATTTCAATGGTGACATTTGGCTCACAACACTGTGTATGGGTGGAGCTTTGGAGAGATTGATAGAGAAATTCTAACTTCAGCAAGTGAAACCAAAAGATTAACTACAGTTTTTTATTACCTAATTCAAGTCCAGTGCCCAAACGGGACTCTCGAAGTCTGTCCTAACAAGTCCTCTGCAGGTGCACTGCACTTGTTCTGGAAGTGCTGATGACCTGCTGCTGTGTGCGCCCCCTTGCCACTCTCTGCACCAGAATCCCGCCACTCCCTCGGGGCCCTGGCATGGACCAGCACAGTGCCCCACCTAAGGAAGGCACCGAGAAAAGAAGAGTTTGGCAAGTGTGTGAATTTAAACAAAGCAAGAGACTTCCCTCATTCTGAGTTAATTCCTCATTAACCATTAGTTCAATAAGAACATAAGTGAAGCAACATTGTAGCTTAGGAAAAACTACCTTGTGGTTGTCTGCTATCAGTCTCCTGAAATTTAATTATCCCAGACAGTTCTTCCATGAAATTTTTGGATCACCCAGATGTTCCTAATTCTCACAAATATGGTAAATGAAGAGCTGATGTTATGTTTTTTATTACAAACTATTTATTCCATACTCAAGTAATTTGTTTTTTTTCTAATAAAAGAAATAGTGGTACTTTTGTTCAGATTGGTGAATAATGTGTTCATCTCTCTGTAGTCATTGAAGCTCTCATAAAACATTAATTAGCAGCTATTTTCATTATGCAAATATGATGCATAAAATAACAACAGTCTAAATTTGATAATAGAAAAGCAAAAGCCTTCATAGTCACAGTCAAAATTATTAAGCAATACAGGTAGTCTTATTTACCAATGTGAATAGAAAATACCATATCTACTATTATTTGAATAACTTGAAGTATCTACCACATTTTAAAAAGTTCCCCAAAAGTAGTTAGATATGACTCTGTTAGCAAAAGAAATTATGTTTAACTCTGAATTGCTGAAATAATTAACCATAGTTTTCTCAGCAACTACTAAGCATTTATGATCATCCCTGTGCTTTTTCTTTAATGTTTTATGAAAAATAACCAAATGAGCTGTTTCTATGTCACAGAGATGAGTAATACTTCTCCCTGTTCATGTGAAATAACCTCTAGAATCAACAATTAAAGTAAACTTAACAGCTTGTTGAGAGATCAAAATAGAAAGAGTTACAAAGTGAACTACTGAGGACAGATGGTTTCAAAAATCTTATTTACGGAGTAATGTCTATTACTGTGTTTTTCCTTGTCTTGTTTTTAATCATATATGTGTCTTATTAACTTAAGCTTGACTTTCCAATCATTCACTAACACTTCTCTGCTTAATAACATTAAAAAAATCAATATCCACTGTGTTGAAATTTGTATTCTATTTCAAATCCATTATGAAACACATATGCAAACATATAAAATAATATAACTCCCCTCCAGTATTTCAACTTCCCATTAAAGTGCAAAATAATTATTTCATTAGCAAGGCAATGACATTCACAACCTTCAACCACACAAAATCGACGTCTTTTCCTTGTACATCTCAACTTCCCCTAAGATACAACCTTACTCTTATGATATATCATTTGTTGGTGATTATTTGGGGGTTTGGAGTTGCCATTATTAACCCTGATTAAAGAGGGGAAATTACAAAATCTAATATGAGATTTGAGATTTTAAATCCATATATGTATCCAACTTCCTAGACAAGCAAATATAAAAACTATTTCACTAAATTGTAAGCACATAACTGGAAAATAACCCTTCTTTCAGTTCCTAAACACTAGATGAACGAGGGGGAAATCACTCAATGCAGCTAAAAGTATGTCACCGAGGCAGTGGCCAGCAAACGAGGTATTTCATAGCAGACCTTCTCAGGAGTCTATCCAGGCCACACTTTATTTTGCCATAGGTAGAAAACTCGCCATAGAAACTCTGTTAGCTTAATAACGCCAGTCAAGCAGCCCCAGTGAAAGGATTCGTAAGGATTTCAGAGTGAGTGTGTGGAGGAGGAGGAGAAGGGAGAGGAAAAGCAGAGACAGTGAACGGCAGAGAGATAAAAGAACCAAGAAAAGAGAGCAGCCAGGAGAGAAGGAGAAATTTGGACGGGACTGTGAAAAATCTGCCTCTCCACTCCTCCGTTTCTTCGCTGGGATTGGGTTTCATTTCTTCGGGCGCCCCTGACCTTGCCGTCTCCAACTCCGCGCGCTCCCCCTCCTGCCGGCCCCCTCCCCGGGCCTGCGCCTGCCTTTGTGTCTGCCTGTCACTTACCGGGAGCCCCACGGAGCGGATTCGGGAGCAGCACAAAGCCCGGACAGAGATTTGCCCACAAATTCTCTCACACTCACTCCGCAGGCTGCAGGGCTCGGCCCGTCTAGGGGCTGATGCGCCTCGAGAAAGTGGGTTCTGCTCTTGTTTGGGGGACCGGAGAAACTATTCTTTCCTCTCTCCCTCGGCGCCGCTCACAAAACGCGCGGACTTAGGAAAAAAAACAAAACCCCCTCGGTGTGCTCCGGTTTCGCTCCCCGTGACACTCGCTCGCACGCCCCCCGAAAAGAGGACACGGGGGTAGGGAGGCGAGTGCACACCCAGAGCCCGAGCGCCGGCGGAGGAAAGGGTCGAAAAGCCCGTCTGCGCCCTTTCCGGGGTGGGCGCGGGCGCACGGGGGCTCGTGCGCCCTCCCCCGAGGAAGCGGGTGGGAGGGCTGGAGGGCAGCGCAGGGACCCCCAGACCCGGACTGTTTTAGGAAGGAGAGCCAAGGAAAACCACACTTTCCTGGGGATAAAAGGCCGGGGAAGCGACTGGTCGGAGTGACAAAGGTAACTTTTCCGGGTTGGGAGCGGACGAGCCACCGCAGGAGAGGGGAGAGAACGCAGAACTATAGGTTTAAAGGGGGGGGGGGGATTAAAACTATATTTGTCAGCCATGTTGAAGAGGCTCCAGTAATTTGTGAAGCTTCCCTCTTCCCTCTCGGTATTTGTGGGTGACACTGCAGGGTTCGCTCCCCCGTCCCTGGAAGCCCGAGAGAAAGCGAAGGGGAGAGGAAAGGGGGAGTTTCGCGGGAAGGAGAAGCGCTCTGACCTCGTTCTCGTCCCGCAGCCTTGCAGCAATGCAGCAGTCGCGGTCGTGTCTCCTTTCTAACAAATCCTAAAGGGCAGCCATCTTGCTTCCTTCTGCTTCTCTACGAAAGCAGCCTAGCCTCCGCATCAATATTCATAAGGCAGTTTGACGTCTGTTCTCATCACTCGGCGGGGCCGGCGTCTCGGGGCGGCCGCGCCGAGGGGGCGGACGTGACTCGCATGCCAGCCCGGCCAGGGCGCGCTGCGCTCGCGGAGGCGGCTGTCGCCCGAGCTCTCCTCCTCCTCCTCCTCCTCCTCCTCTGCTGCCTCGCCAACGCCGCCGCCCGGCCTCCTCCTCCTCCTCCTCCTCCTCCTCCTCCGCCCGGATTCCGCCTCCTCCGCCGGGCCTCCGTCGCCGCCCTGGGGCCCTCAGCCCCCGCTCCCCGGGAGTCACCCCCCAGCCGGGGTGCCCTGCACTAAGGCTGCGGCGCTCGGGTGCCGGCCACCGGGGCGCGTGGTCTTGGCCCAGTTGCCCTGGCGCAAGGCAGCGAGCGGAGCGGGTTGGGGCGGGAGGGAGGTAGCGGAGCGCCCGCCCGAGCGAGGGGTGAGGGCGGGCGCGCGGGGGAAGATCCAGCCCCCGGGCGCCGCGGCCAGACCCCGGGCTCCGGGGGACCCTCGGACACTTCTCTACCCCGGGTGAGGGCGCGGGGCAGGCGCGCAGGGGGAGGTGTCGTGGGTGCCTGGCACCAGGATGCCAGACCCCAGTTAACCTTTTAAACTTTTTGTTGGTACCTCACTCCACCACTCCTTCAGAGGTATATGAACCCCCTCTCCCCCGCGTGCGCCCACCTCTGTCCAGTCCCCTTACTCGATCCCATTCGCCAACCTCCGTTGAGACTTCCTGGCACACGCTCCGCGCGCACCCACCTCATCCCGCAAAGGCCCGCACCTCCATCCCGCGGTCCACCGCCTCTCCCGGGTTTTGGCATCCTCTCGACACAATCACTTGAATCTTGCAGAGCAGACTCACTCCTCAGGTTCTTCCAGGACATGCCCTTAGTACACTAAGGGCCTGCACTTTCAAAGATTCTGACACGTTAGGAACCTGACCGGGACCCGCTGGCTACTCCCCGGCCCAGCCCACCTTCTGTTTACTTTGCCACGTGGGCTGGGAAGGAGAGGAATTCCCACACATCCAAGAGGAATTTCTCAGTGACCACCTCTTGCTAGATTTGGTGATGAGAAGGAAGCCTGTACCTTAAATGCGTAGGTTTCCTCCCGTAAGAGCCTCCATTGTAAATGTTTTCCCCACTCGTATAGTTAAATAACGAAGAAATAGACCCATCAAGGACAAAATTCCGAAAGACAGACGCTCGATTTTCCCTGATGTGCCGGACTCGGACTCGACAACTACGCCTGTTCATTGACAGTTTTTCTTTTCTGTTGCCGAGTAGTTTTGCTTCTCTTTATAATGCTCCTTTTCCTAATCACAACTTTTTATTTAAAAATGAGATGAAGAACAAAGCCCATGAGAATCATGATATCGAATAGTAGATTCTGAGATTCGTCTTCTTTCTTTAAGCTGTCGCGTTACTGACATTCGAGTTTTAAATACGTATTTTGCCAACATCTTTTATAGCATCGCTGCATTGTGACCCTTTTAAGCCAACACGAGTTCTTTTGTGTATCCCACTCTTTCGTGTCTGCAATATCTTCACAGGTAAAGTCTTCTGATTATTTTATGAAATCGGAATATGCCCTCTTTGAAAGTTAAGGAAGGGAACTCTATGTGTCACATTGTTACTGAGATGAATGTTTAAAGTGTGTTTTAAAGAAACATTGTTGACTCCATTTTGAAACAAAGTTGACTCAGATTTCTGATTTTGCATAGGCTCAGAAAAAACATTTATTTTCCCTAAACATTTCATTCTGTGGAAATGAATCTCCGTCTTTTCTAACTGTACACTATCATCAAGGTCTCGGCAGTTGCTCCTGGACTTCAAGTTGCCGGGGAGGTTTCCTGGATTTGTTTTTTTAAGTCCAAAAAGTAAAGTTTGCCAAAAACTGTGGTATATGTTTACATAGTGCACAGTAAAGCAGAATTGCTAAGAGCTTGAGTTGGGTGTGTCCGACAGACCTCAGTGAATCTCGACTACTCTACTAAATGCGTGACCTTGAGCCTGGTCTCCTTAACTCTGTGTATCAGTTTTGTCATCTGCTACACACCCTCTAAAACAACAGGGCTGTTGTGAGGATCAAATGAGACACCAGGTGAGTGCCGGAGTAGCTATTCTGATTACCAATCATAAGCCATCTACTTCCAGGAGTTTTTCTTGATTGACTAGCAATACATGATGTCTTCTTACATTGAATAACATGTGGCAAGTGCTGTATTCACATGTGTCTCATCAACAGTCACACATTTCCATAGTGACATATGATAATTGGAAAAATGATCTTTAGGGTCACTTCCTTCTCATTTCATCTTTTAAATTTTTCACCCTGTGTAGTAACAGGTGGTTCTTATCTATCTGGAATCATACTTGGCTTGCAGTTGGTTTTGCAACAGGCCCTAAACCTTTTCTCACCAGCTACTTTCTCTGCACCCTCATGCCACCCTTAAACACATGGAGGGCTTTTTAATTTTAATTGAAAAGAAAATACATTACTGTTTTTGACTACAGTGACTTTTTTAGCAGCAAAAGAGAAGTAAAATTCTGAAGATCCCCAGGTGTAAAATAGTGAGATTTTTGTGCTGTTGATAAAAAAACAAACAAAACAAAACAAAAACCTCTTGGTTCTATTTCTGGGAAAGAAAAGATATAGTGCACATAGTCAGTTATTTCTTGGATATTAATGCACATTTGTATGGGTAACTCAGAGCCAGCTTTTATTAATTGCGTGCTTTCTTGAGATTCCTTTTATAAGTGTAGATAATCTATTTTTAAAAGTAATGTGCTGTTTTAATGAGTCAGTTGTTATCAAATTCCTTCCCATTTCTCCCCTCAGACTAGAAATAGCAGCACTGCTTCCAGACAGAGAAATCTTTGCTTCTTTCATGAAGAAAAAGAAACAGAACAAGTCCGGGACCTGCTAGTGTGGGCTAGGAAATTGCCTTGATCGGCCTGGGCACCTGCTGTCTAACTCTTTTGCTCAGCCTCCCAGCTACTGAGGGTGGAGGCAGCTTCCTGTCTGCTCTGTCCATTCAAGAGCTGACAACAGCAGCTTGCTTGACAATGCAAATTTCTTGTACTAACAAGAAAAAAATAATAGGCAATTCTTAATTTCCTCCTCACTTGCATACTAGGAAATTTTCTTTAAAGAGTTGATTTTTCTCTTTAACAAAGAGAAATTGTTGTGATCCATATTGCTTTGAAAGAATTATAGTGGCTTAACAAAAGCATTAAATCATTGGCTGTTGTTTCCCATTTATGAAAACCTGTTTCTGAAGTATAACATGATGAGGATTCTCTGCATGCTTAAAAAAACATTGACCTTCAAGCAGCACAGGGGTCATTTCTGCAAAGGGGCTCTCTTGTTTCCTTTCGTCCAGTGACATGACTGCATGCCACACAAAAGTATGTCTTTAACATAGGTAGAATGCTAATTTAAAAAAATCTCTGAGGAAACATTTAGATGTAAAATTTTAACCTATTGATATAAATTAGCATTAATAAAACCATTGTTATCTAAAGCCAAGAGTCATAATATGACGATGGTTCTGATAGATTCTCTTTTATTAATATGATTTCTACTTACTTTTTCTATGATATTTTTTCTTATTGTTACATTTCTCATTCTATAATTTGGAAAATTTAAAGAAATAGAAACAGCCCTGGCTGGTGTGCCTCAGTGGATTGAGCACTGGCCTTCAAACCAAAGGGTCACTGGTTCAACACCCAGTCAGGGCACATGCCTGGCTTGAGGACCAGGTCCCCAGTAGGGGCGGGGCGCATGAGAGGCAACCACACATTGATGCTTCTCCCTCTCTCCCTCTTTTCCCCTCCGTCCAAAAATGAATAAATGAAATCTTAAAAAAGAAGAAATAGATACAAATGATGTAATCCTAACTTATTTAAAGCTGCCACTATCAATTATGTGTGCTGATTTAATAGGGACAAAATACAATATCAGGTGAGACTCAAATGTTTAATCCTGTTAAAAATATTGCCAAAAGCATTATAAAAAGAATATTAGGATCATTTAAGGAACAAATGACATGGAAATGCCTCCAAAAATATTGTAAACATGTTGCTAATATCAATCTTTTTTCTTCTCACAAATTCTGACTTCACAATCCAATAGCTACTCTTCTTATTCTCACCCAAATTTGGTAACTCACTTAATATCCCACTTTCTTTTGAGAGAATAATTTTTCAACTTTAATGATAAACTTCAATAAAGAATAAAATTTTAACTATCAGCGGTTACCTCAGCACCATTTTATATTTATTTAAGGTTTTACAGTTTTTAAAACATTTTTGTACACTATTATGTTTTTATGGTAAGGCATACAGTATATGTTTAATGTTTAATTGTCAATATCATATGCATTTTCAAGATGGCATTTAATCCCATCTTCTACATATGGAAAGTGAGATTCAATGACCTTCTCAAGGTCATGTGGCCTGCGAATGGAAGTGCATCTCTCAGACTCAAGTTCTGTAAGTTCAAGATCAGGCCTTTTCTTTGCTGCAACACAATCCTCTTGTCTTTTCCTGCTCATCTTCCTCCAAATGTTTCTATTATTAGTACTGACA